AGCAAAAATCTTCCTAGACAGAAACCCCAGCTCCTAAGTCAGCCAGCCACAACAGTGTGAATTCCTCAGGGAGGTGCCAGTCCCATCCTCTTGTAGTTCCCACGTTCTTGCGGCGAGCGAAGAAAATGCTTATCTCCGAGCCTGGCCTTCATAATTCCATTCCATCACACATACACACTACACACAGCCAGCCTACAACATACAAAAGAGTTGCTTTTTCTTTCATATTACGTATTTACCTTATAAGTGGTATAAATATTAATAAACAAAACATTCAGAGCTCCCTTTATTTTGCTTCCAAGTCATTTATTTTAAGTTTAAGGTTTTTTTACTCAAACTTCCTTCTCAAAATTAAGGTGCGTGTTATATGCCTATGCATGTTATATGCCGATAAATATGGTACTTATCCAATCACAGTTTATCTAAACAAATCAAGAACATAAATCAAAAGATTGAGCATAACTAAATGGGCAATATGAAACTTTTTTTAAATTAACAGAGTTGATACATTACAAAAATTATATTAGCATTATTATAATTACATCACTTTAAGAAATGCAGTTTCATGCTATACTTATTTAATTTGGCTACTATCCAAGATTTAGGCTAATTATATATTTTTTTAAATTCAAAAATTCTACAAATAAAAATGCAAGCAGAGTAAAAATGATAATCATCCCAAGGTCCATACATGTCTACCTATGGTATCCTTACTCAGAAAAGAAAGTACAGTTCAAACCAGCAAATAGATGGTATTAATAAACTACAATTGGTATGGAGTAAGTCTTTGTGCAAACATTGGAGTTCTTGAATTCCTGGCAATGGCATAGCAAGGTAGTTTTTGAACTTGAACTTACTGGTAACAGTCTTATATGCCTCCACTTAATATGACATGTTGCATCAATTATGAATCATATAGCTAAATTAGAATGGAATCATAGAGTTGAGAGGGGCCATTGAAGCTAAACAGTTCAGCTCAGTAGAGGAATCCCAAGCAATCGCCAATCTTTGCTTGAACATATCTAATAATCTGAACCTACCATCTTGCTAGATAAGTGAGTCCCCTAATGAAATGCTCTTAGTGAAAGGAAGTATTTCCTAATGATAAATGGGATCTACCTTCTTAGTCCAGGTATGGCACTCTGGGATGCTAAAGAACTGGTCTTGGCTTCCTGCTGTGTGATAGTCTTCTTGTTATTTGAAGAAAGCTATCATATTTCCCCTCAGAGTTCTCTTTGAAGATAAATATAAATATATCCTATTTCTACAATATTAACTCTTAGTACCAAATTCATTTTTTGATTCAGCTATGTTTCTACCTTATGCCATCTAGCCTATTCTTAACAAGCTTAATCATGTCAAGGATATTTTACCAGATGTTTTGCTGAAATGAAACTACTTTGTATCTAAAGAATTCTCACTATCTACTATGGAAGTTACCTAATTTAAAATGTGTTAAGGTTTGCTTGGCAATAGTTTTTCCTGAGAAATCAAGGCTTGGGAATAAACACCTTTTTGTTGGAAAAAATATTTTTGAAATCATACCATACCATATCATATCATATCAATCATATTATATCAATCTTTTTAAAGTAAAGATGCTGCAGCAAGCATGGTTAGTTTTCATGGTGCTATGCAGATTTGTACTATATGCTGATGCCATTCCTGTTATCCTATCACTTTGCCAAAAAACTGAAAAGCTGCTTCAGGAACGGAGATGTGGCAAGGAGGAACCATACAGACAACCCTGAATGTGCCTAGTGAAGGTTTTGCATGGGTAGACTTTATACCTCATGATGCAGATCCACAAACATACATCTCCGAGAAAACACACACATAAGTTGACTGCTAGAAGATCATGATCCCTAAAATAACATTTTAGAAATCATTCTTAGTTTTAAGGGATTTCAGGTACGTGTGTGCATCCATGACATCCCATCTAAAGCTCCCTTAGCTCATGCTTCATGTCTGCTTTTGTTCTTGAATTCTGGCTTGTATATGTAGCAAGTATTCAGATTTGCCAGACAATGGAAGAAAAATAAATGAAATGCAATCTACCAAAATATTTAGAATATTAAATTGTGAAATGCTGGATTATGAGATGTTCATAATATCTGGCAATGTTGTTAGTGCAAAACTTGCACTTACCTGCAGTGAACGACCATTGGTCCAGCATCAGGAGGATTACAGGTTTTGACTCGTCGTAAGAAAGCTAGGAATGGTGTTGGGTGTTCTGGAACTCCATGATCTGGCCATGCAGTGAACTGGAATTGCCTAACTTCTCTCTTTTCACTCGATCCATTCTGCCACGTAAGAAATTTAGTGTAAATAATTTTTTAGGGCCAAAACAGTACTCCAGAATGAAATCATCATGAAATCAAGTGAGACAAATTTGTTATTAATCTAAAATTGTTATTTTTATCCCCCAACTGTTTTTTTATCCCAGTAATGAAATGAGAATCAGTGGATGCATAGCATTAATATTTAGTATTTTTTCTATAGTTAAGTTGGATATGAAAAATGAAAGCATTTCATATAAGAAAAAGGTAAAGGGGCTAGTCTATTTAGTTTTGAAAAAAAAGGCTGACAGAAGAAAAAGAAACTATTTACTGTGATTGTTGAGAGGAGAACAAAAAAAGAATGTGTAAAAGTTTTTACAATAGTGTTTTAAATTTAATGATGGAAGTGCTCCACAGTTGTAAAGTTGGCTTAGAACAGCAATAATTTTATGAAATGTCCTTCTATGGAAAGTTTGGACAAGAAACTTGAAGGACATCTGTTAAGTAAGAGCTCATTTCAAGAAATTTTGCTATTGCAAATAATTGAATTACATGGCCCTACAAATTCTCTCAAACTGTGTAAGTCTATGTTTTGAACATCAATGCAAAGACCTATAATCCTCTTTAAACAGAAATGCTGATCACTTGCTGGTGATACTGTCAAACCTTAAATAAAAACCTTGTTCCATCAAAAGATACTCAATGTTTGCATAACCCAAACATACCTTATAAAGTGCAAATGTTCTAACACAATATGTTGCCAGTTCTACAGTGTCCAGCAATGTGACTTGGATCAATCCATATGTTTCTGTTCCTCTGCTTGGCCAATACTGATCACATTTAACCTGCAACAAACATATCAGGTATGAGAGAAAAAATGAAAAATAAAGGCAAGTGATGTTAAATTACTCTAAAGGAGTTGAAAACAAATGGAAACCAGCTAAAGAGAAGAATACTAAGTTAAGATAGGAGAGAACCAAAAGACCCCTAGCTGTCGTGCAAATGATCCAGATCATCCAGAAGGAGAGAAGGAAGGTATGGTTCATTTGGGGAACA